AGAGGCCTGCCTGTGGGCATGGCTGAGAAGCTGTCCTGACCAAAGAACTGTATCCAGAGTTGTTTTTGATCCTGAATTGTAACCTGTTACTGCCCGTAGGGGTTGCTGATTCGGAATCGACTCAGTGGCAGTGGGTTTGGTTTTTTGGGTTTACTTCCCTGATAAACCCCGTAACTGTGAGTATAGTCTGTGAGTTCTGTGAGGCCATTGCAATGAGTTATTGAACCCAGCAGAGAAGTAAAGAGTACCATGGGAGGGACGGCTGGTGTCAGAATTGGTAAAAAGGTTGCAGGGTGGAGGTGTGTTTGACCTATACCTTATAGGAATCAGCCTTGGGCTGATGTTGATGTGGATTCTCCTCCCCTATTGTGAAGTTAGAGGTCTGACACTGCCTTAGCATTTTTATACTGTCTCAGCACACCTGTACTCCTTTTATAGCATACCTGTTGGGAAGCTCTGGTCTAGGCTAAGACATGAAGGATAAGTAGATTTTAAGCACGAGAAGAGATATTCAGGGCCCTTCATTCAGTTATTTAACAAATATTTATTGAGCATTTACCATGTGTTAGACACTGTGCCAGGAATTAGGAATACAACAGTAAACACGGAATCTACTTTTAAGGAGCTTTTACTATTGTGGAGAAGACAGACAAATGAACAGGCAATTATAATACTAAGAGAGAAATGCTCTGATATAGATAAACTCAGAGGGTTATGTGATCCAAGAGAAGGCAATCTAACTCAGGTTTGAGGAGTCAGAGAAGATTTCCAGGGTGGTATCATTTAGCTTTAGACCTCTAGGTAGAGGGTAGGAGTGGGAAGTGGGAAAAGTATTCTAGGGAGAAGGGAGTACTTTGGAGCAGGGCTTCGAACCAGTTGTTCCCACTTCAGTCATGGCCGAGGAGGTGACACTGCAACAGACTCGAATTTTTTAAATTTGGGTGGCCCAGAACTATAACCGGAATGGGAAAAATTACAGGTGGAAGCCATGCTAGAAACTTAATCTTCATCATAGAAAACAAGGGCAGTGTACACATGCATAGCAACCAAATCTCCTGCCTGTTGGATTCTGTGCGGTCTGAAACAGCAGTGCCCAGTCTGCACCTTTTTAAATGTGTGTCACTTTCTTCAGTCCTGGTAATAATCCAGCCTCATGCACCAGGCTCCTGAAAGGGCTCACTATGCCACTTCTGAGTCTACCATTCCAGGGCTCCGACTGATAATTTTTCCCGTTCTGGTTATGGTTCTGGATTACCCAAATTTTAAAACAATTCGGGTCTCTTCTGGTTTCCCTTTGTCGGCCATGACTGAACTGGTTTCAGCTGGTTTGAGGCCCTGCTTTGGAGGGCAAGGAGGTGAAAAAATCATGGCACATTTTCTCCTTTTGCTATCCCCATAAACCCTATGGTCATTATGCCATCTTCTTTAACACCTCTGTGTTTGCCTATGCTCCCCATCCTTGCCTGGCTAACTGATGCTTTGGGAGCCAGCTCAATGGTCACCTCCTGTGCGACAGATTTCCCCAAACAAAATTAGTCATTCTCTCCCCTCTGCACCTACAGTAATGACTTTACTTTATTAATCAAAAATCTGGACACATTGTCTGACAGTGAATTTTTTTTCTGGTATGTAAGTTAATTTTATTAGTAGCTATAGATATGAAAATTATGTTTTTATTCATTTAACAAGCTGCCTTTATAAAGGAAAAAATAGAAAATAAAATATATGCTAATATATTATCTGTATATTATTTTGTTATTCGTCTATTGTCAAAATTGATGGCAAAGTTGTTTATATTAATTTAAAGAACTCGTATTATTAAATACCTTTATTCATTTAAATTTTTGCTACTATCTCTATGCTAACCTCTGAATATTTATTTGAATTATAGTGATTTTTAAAAAACTTTTAATGGTTACTCATTACTTCTCTGATTGTTTGATATACTTGTCAGAGATAGGATGATTGGAATAATATGCTTGGAATAGTCTCTCAACAAAAATCTCTAAATGCAATTTCCTGAATACAGCCAGAAACTTCGAGGGACAGAGTAGCAGGGGCGGGGGGCTGGGGACCATGGTTTCAAGGGACATTTAGCTTAATTGGCATAACAAAGTTTATTAAGAAAATGTTCTGCATCCTACTTTGGTGAGTGGCGTCTGGGGTCTTAAAAGCTAGTGAGCAGTCATCTAAGATGCATCAATTGGTCCCAACCCACCTGGAGCAAAGGAGAATGAAGAACACCAAAGACACAAGAAAAATATTAGCCCGAGAGACAAAACGGCCACATAAACTGGAGACTCCATCAGCCTGTGACTGGAAGAATTAGATGGTGTCTGGCTACCACGAATGACAGCCCTGACAGGGAACACAATAGAGTCCCTGATGGAGTAGGAGAAAAGTGGGGTGTAGAACTCAAATTCTAGTAAAAAGACCAGAGTTAATGGTCTGGCTGAGACTGGAGGGACCCCAGAAGACATGGTCCCTGACTCTCTGTTAGCCCCAAACTAAAACCATTCCCGAAGCCAACTCTTCAAAGATTAGACTGGACTATAAGACATAAAATGATACTCGTGAAGAGTGTGCTTCTTAGCTCAAGTAGATACATGAGTCTAAATGGTCAGCTCCTATCCTGAGGCAAGATGAAAAGGCAGAGAGGGTCAGGAGCTGGTTGAATGGACACGGGAAATCCAGGCTAGAAAGGAGGAGTGTGCTGCCACAGTACAGGGAGTGCAACTAGGGTCATATAGCAGTGTGTGCATAAAGTTTTGTATGAGAAACTAACTTGAATTATAAACTTTTATTTAAAGCACAATAAAATCTCTAAGTGCTTTCATTGGTAATTTCTAAAATATTTTCATTTGGGCCCAGCCCCTTTGTTTTGTGTGACTCCTTTAACTTAATGACCCCTCTCCCCTACTACAGGTTGAATATCACATAAAGGGATGCCTTGACATATGCTCAGAACTGAATCCCTACTTTGACCTACTGTTCTCACCTTTGAACCTGCTCTGAACCCTCCCTAAACTATTGATCCTGGAGGAGAGGGCACTGATTATAAACTTGGCCCTTCTGACAGTGATTCTGAGCCTCTACCTTGGTCAACCCCTTTGCCGTCGAGTCAATTCCCAATTCCCCACAGAATGAAGTCCTGACTCTTGGACATCCTCTGTAAGCTCCTGCAGAATCAGACTCTCGTCGTTATCTCAGGGCATTCTCCATCTTGCACCCAAAGTCCCAGCAATATCTTACTGCTTGCAGTAAACACACACCCTGTATGTGCAGTCTTGTTTTGGGGGAAGGGATTTGGGGCAGTTAACTAGATTTACTATCAACCATAAAGTTAAGAGCCCACATGGGAGGCAGGCAATGGGATGCCTCAAGCTTGCTCTCAAGGCTGAATGTTTTTTCCAGTTATAAGTCTATTACATGCGCTCCCCTCCCTATCAGAGCAGTTCAGACCCTACCTTCCTGCAGTGGTTATCACTAGGGTTGGTATCACCCAGTGCAGTAACTCATGGTGTCACCTTCCCGTGGGCCTCCTCCAGTACCATACCACACAGAATCCTTAGTAACGTTTTTTGTACTAATGGTACTTGTAAATCATAATTCTTATACATCACTGAATGTAACGGCAATAGTATTGACATAAACAACTAGCAAAATTTAGATTACAATATCATATGCATAACCTAAATGTACTTATATTTACATAGTTTCATACGGCTAAAGTGAAAATTCCGTAAGAAAGCAATAGAATTCGAAGTAAAAACGTGTAAGAACTACAACAAAATCGTGCTCATTTTAATGTTAAACTTTACCGTTACGTGAGATACATTAATGCATTAGGTTTGCAAAATCGTAACGGCCCACATAATTCAGAAGGTGTAGATAAATGCACGTGGAAATATATTCATAAATGAAATAATACTATAAAAATCAACAGGAAAAATACACAAGTACTTCAGCACTTTATGAACATCACGACTAAATCAGAACTTTCCTTTCCTGGTCTTCAAAGCTGCAAACTTGTGACTGACTTCATCAAAATCAATGCCTTTGGTCAACTCACTTTTTAATGTGTCACTCCCTATTTTTCTAAACCATAATCCAAACTTAAACCCTGAAAATTTCATTAAAGTCAGATATATACTTGCAAGACAGTGACGTTTTTAAAGAAAATTTTAAAAAGACTAAAATTTAAAAAAAACTGAATATAAGGTTTAGGTTATATTTCTAAACCTGTATCAAGAAATATAGCATTTCCCCCACTTCATGTTTTAAACTGTCAGTTTCTCTATTTAGTTATCAAAGAGTTATATAATCAATAATTGTTATACATGTAAGTTTATTATCAATTTCAATCCTAGAATAATGTGTGGTATAGTTGTAAATCGCTTAAATGTAATGTTTCTTAGATTATATGAATACTAACAACATAATTGTTTTGTAAAATCTTTCTACACTGAATTACATTATTAGTCAACATTATTTGTAATTGAGTGGAAGCCTTTTTTGATTTTTCTCCTTCCTTTGGTTAATACTTCATTCTCAAAAAAGTTGACATAGGTTCACAAATACTAATTACCACAATACTGTAACTAAAACACCAGAAAATTTGACAAAATCAGTGACTATAAAAACACCAGCAACAACAACAGCCTGTGCGTGTAGCGTGTGCAGATGAAACCACTTGACTCAAAGTGTCATTGTAATTGAGTAATAGTGACAGCTCTGACTCCAGGACATTAGAAGGTTCAAAATGTAAATTAGCACAGAGTTTTAAGCCTTATTAGTATACTGATACATGTAAGCTGGGCTTACTGAAGAAATTTTTGTTGTTGTAACTACAGGGATATTTTTATAAAAAATAATTAATTTCTGCTGAAACACTGCACAAAAATTTCATAGACAGTCATTTTGGTGTCACCCCTCTGACAGAGTCACTTGGTGTGGTCTGCACCCCAACACCCTTAATGACTCCACTGCCTTCCTGCCCCACAGCATTTCACATCACAACAGACTTGTGGTTTTAATCCGTTTTTCTGCCTCCGAAGTTACCTCGGCCTGTAATGTCCTTTTCTCCCAGTCAGCCTGGCAAACTGTTATTCATAGTTCAAGATTCAGCCTAGAAGTCCTTTCTCTGGGAAACTTTACTTTCCTGCTTGCCCACTGGCCTCCCCACCTTGCTTTTCTACACAGTGTAGTGAGCTTTGTAGTTTTATTAATTGTAGGCATGGATCTGTGGTGATAAGTTATTTACTGCTTCACCAGGCCTATCAGCCCCCTGAGGACTGGGGCCAGAGCGGATGCCCAGCGAAAATCGGTGGCACGCAGCAGGACCTACACGTTCAAGCCCGGAACCAAAGGACCGGTAGTTTGTGTTCCCGACCGCCGCAGCCAGCGGAGCCGCCTCGGGTCATGTGACGCGCCGATGGTCACGCGAGCGCCTCTCACCTGACCAGGGGCTCACGTGGCCCACCCCAGTAGGGGAGAAGAGATCGGCGGGCAATGGCTGTCTCCACACTTTGGTTTCCGCTGCTGCTGGCAGCAGCGACCGCTGGCCCGGTGACGGCCCTATGGCCTTGGCCCCAGTACATCCAAACCTCTGACCAGCGGTACGCCCTTTGGCCGAAGAACTTCGACTTCCAGTACCACGCCGGTTCTGCCGCGCAGCCCGGCTGCTCCGTCCTCGACCAGGCTTTCCAACGCTATCGTCACCTGTTCTTCCACACCGTGTCTGACTCCCTCACTGGCCGCACAGGTGAGTCAGACCTGCCCCGCCTCACGTCGGGCCCTGAGAGAACCTTACTTGGGCACCTCCCCCTCCCCCAACCTTCTGAGCGCCCTTCTTTGGGCTTTCGTTCAACCCTGTAATCACAGGCACTCCACTTCCTCTTGCCATCTTTCTCCAGTTGCCGTCTCAGCTCCCCAAGCTTTAGTCCCCCACCTCCATTTACTTCTTTACCGAAACGACCTCTGGGGCCAGATTTAACCAGAATTCTTCCCTCGGGCTGCGTTAGATTTTCATTTTTTAAAAATGCCTACTCTAGGCCTACAGTTTAATCAGGGTATCATATTACTGAAATACTGTGCCAGTAAACATCTGAGGTGATCCGTATGACCATGTTCAAGTGAGACAGGGTCCAAGTGAGGTTGTGACCAGAGCTAGGTAGAGGAGACCAGAGAAGACACCCAAAATTGGTGAGACAAGACATGAAAAATGTATTGACCTATGCAAAATAACACAAAATTGTCTGGCACATAGCAGATGTTCAGTAAATGTTTAAACTGTGCAAGAAATCGTAGAACCCTTCCATAAGGAAATTAATTTGGAGCAGCCACTTAGAGGTGGTAGTGGATGTAACTGGACAGGACTGAAAGGAGAGTAAGCCAGGTAGGAAGAAAGGCACAAAGGATTATGAGTGAGCTGAAGTGCTGGACTGGTGTGTGTATTGAGGGTGGGGATTGGGGAGAGTTTAGGGTTGAGGTGAAGAGTCAGTAGTGCTTTGAATATTCGTTCCATATAATATGGCAGGGGCTAGCAATTTTCTTTTAGGCAGCTAAATAATCAGTGCTGAAAATTGTGTTTGAGGATGCTTATTCCACAGCCAATTTATGAGTAGAGTCAGCAACATAAAGGAATAAAATTCTAGTTTATGGGCTTAAAATACAGAGTTTTCTTGATGATCTCCTGGAATCTAGTTCTCCGGTTGTGTTGGTATAGGTATTTATTTGAGAGGAATCCATCTTTATGGTTAGGTCATATGGTAACATCATCTGTGTGTATTTTAAGTGGGCTTAAATTACTTTGACAAAGTTTCTCGTTTAGTATATAGAATTAAAAGTGTTTAAGTATATGGCGCTTAGAGAGTGAAATATGATTTTAGGGAAGGAAATAGAATCTTGGCATCATAGTTCCTAACTGGTAAAATGCATTATGCTGGGGAGGATGAAAAGCCTGATATTGAGTGTAGTGGATCACGTATTTCTCTTACTCCTTCACTATGTGTAAGGAGTTACTTCACTGTGTTACTATGTGTAAATAAAATAGTGTCTTACACAAGATTGGCACTCAGAATATGTTTATTTTGGCCTTAGAACAGTTAAGGCCTGGCTTGTATGAAAATTAGACCTGTCATCTAATGCGTATGTGCCTCTCCCTGTGCTGGGCACTCTGGATTTTACAAGAAAAGTATTAGACTTGCCCAAGCTCTGCAGTCCAGTTGGAGAAATAAAAAGCAGAAGTACATAATATATGTTCTACTACTATTCATAAGGTTTTCACTGGCCAGTTCTTTTCAAAAGTAGGTCCACCAAGGGTGACCCTGCTGGTATTTGAAATACTGGTGGCAAAGCTTCCAGTATCACAGCAACACGCAAGCCACCACAATATGACAAACTGACAGACACATCATCAGTTAGAACAAGGTTACGGGTCGACTGTGGAATAGAACATCAGTTGCTCATATGCAAGTTCAATTCAGAGTTGAAGAAAATTAGAACAAGTCCACGGGAGCCAAAGTACGACCTTGAGTATATCCTACCTGAATTTAGAGACTATCTCAAGAATAAATTTGATGCATTGAACACTAATGACCAAAGACTAGAAGAGTTGTGGAATGACATTGAGGACATCATATGTGAAGAAAGCAAGAGGTCATTAAAAAGAAAGAAAAGACCAAAATGGAAGTCAGAAGAGACCCTAAAAGTTGCTCTTGAATGTCGCATAGCTAAAGTCAAAGGAAGAAATGATGAAGTAAAAGAGCTGAACGGAAGATTTCAAAGGGTGGCTCGAGAAGACAGAGTAAAGTATTATAATGACATGTGCAAAGACCTGGAGGTAGAAAACCAAAAGGGTAGAACATGGGCAGCATTTCTTAAGCTGAAAGAACTGAAGAAAAAATTCGAGCGTTGAGTTGCAATATTAAAGGATTCTATTGGGAAAATATTAAATGACACAGGAAGCATCAAAAGAAGATGGAAGGAATACATACTCACCATACCAAAAAGAATTCGTCTGTGTTCAGCCGTTTCAGGAGATAGATCAAGAATCAGTGGTACTGAAGGAAGAAGCCCAAGCTGCACTGAAAGCATTGGCGAAAAACAAGGTTCCAGGAATTGACAGAACACCAATTGAGATGTTTCAACAAAGGAGTGCAGCGCTGAAAGTGCTCACTTGTCTATGCCAAGAAATTTGGAAGACACCTGGCCAGCCCACTGGAAGAGATCCATATTTGTACCCATTCCAAAGAAAGGTGATCCAACAGAATGCAGAAATTTAGCAAAACATTATCATTAGTATCACACACAAGTAAAATTTTGCTGAAGATCATTCAAAAGCAGTTGCAGGGAGCTGCCAGAAATTCAAGCCAGATTCAGAAGAGGATGTGGAACAAGGGATATCATTGCTGATGTAAGATGGATCATGGCTGAAAGCAGAGAATAGCAGAAAGATGTTTACCTGTGTTTTATTGACTATGCAAAGGCATTTGATTGTGTGGATCATAACAAATTATGGATAACATTGCAAAGAATGGGAGTTCCAGAACACTTTCTTGTGCTCATGAGGAACCTGTACTTAGACCAAGAAGCAGTTGTTTGAACAGAACAAGGGGATACTGCATGGTTTAAAGTCAGGAAAGGTGTGCATCTGGATTGTGTCCTTTCACTGTACTTATTCAGTCTGTATGCTGAATAAATAATCCAAGAAACTGGACTATATGAAGAAGAATGTGGCATCAAAATTAGAAGAAGACTCATTAACAACCTGCATTATGCAGATGACACAACCTTGCTTGCTGAAAGTGAAGAGGACTTGAAGCACTTACTAATGAAGATCAAAGACGACAACCTTCAGTATGGATTAGACCTCAACATAAAGAAAACAAAAATCCTCACAGCTGGACCAATAAGCAACATCATGATAAATAGAAAAGATTGAAGTTGTCAAGGATTTCATTTTACTGGGATCCACAATCAACACTCGTGAAAGCAGCAGTCAGGAAATCAGAAGACTCACTGCATTGGGCAAATCTGCTGCAAAAGAGCTCTTTAAAGTGTTGAAAAGCAAATATGTCATTTTAAGGACTAAGGTGCACCTGACCCAAGCCATGGTGAAAGCTGGACAATGAATAAGGAAGACTGAAGAAGGATTGATGCCTTTAAAATTGTGGTGTTGGCGAAGAATATTGAATATACCATGGACTGCCAGAAGAACGAACAAATCTGTCTTGGAAGAAGTACAGCCAGAATGCTCATTAGAAGCAAGGACGGCGAGACTTTCACTCGCACGCTTTGGACAGGTAATCAGGAGGGACCAGTCCCTATAGAAGGACATCATGATTGTTAAAAGTAGAGGGTCGGCAAAAAGAAGACGACCCTCAGTGAGGTGGATTGACACAGTGGCTACAGCAGTGGGCTCAAGCATAACAACGATCGTGAGGGTGGCGCAGGACTGGGCAGTGTTTCGTTCTGTTGTACATAGGGTCGCTATGAGTCAGAACCAACTTGACGGCACCTAGCAACAACAGCTACATGATGTATGATAAAATTCTTAAAAGGATAAGTAGGATCACTCCTATACATCTAAATTAAACCTTCACCTGCATTGCTGCAGAACTATAATCAAGTAAATAGAAATGGGGAGGTTATGTGACAGTAAATTCCTTATGAAAGAGATTGAGAGCCAGAAGAGGGGCTCAGTAAGACACTTATTTCAATTTATTACCTTCCTGTGAATGAATTTGTGTTACTAGTTGGAGATTTTTGTCCATTGAGAGATAATGAAAACTGGTTTGAATGAACATTACCAAAGATACATAGGTAACTTCCTTCTCTATTGTTCTTCCCATGGAGTCTTCCCTTTGGGACATAGTTTCCTGTGGAGGCTTTCCCATGACTTTGAGCTATATATAATTCCATTTCTGCAAAAACAAAGATGAAATGGGGGAGGGGAAAGCAGTGTCAGCCAGGCCCAAGTCAGTGTATTTCCCTGCAGGGCTGATTTTAATAAAATCACAAATGCAAGTTAAGTGTTAACTAATAGGTTTCCATCCCCTTCCTCCAGGTAACTTCCTTATGAACTCCTGGCCAGTGTTTTTCTTAATGCAGCACAACTTCTGGTTTTGATCTGACCTGGAAATCAGTGGAATTTTTACCTCTCTTTTCTGAAAAACAAGTCTGGTATTGAGATTTGATTGTATTCTGAGTTCGCATGCAAGGATTAGCTGTAGTCCCAGCAATTGCTAAGTGGTCTATGAAGGTGTTTAGTGCCTGTCATTGAGAGATGTTTCTCTCATTGATATTTCTGTCATTGAGAGATGATTGGAGGATGTGTGTTGCATGTTGTTGAACCTGTTAAATGCAATTATTTTAGGCTCTAGATACTTGAATGAATTTAGTTTTCTGTTTCTATTATTAAGCCACATCCTGTTTGCTTAGATCAAAGACCTGATCATTTGGAATGGCAGCATCCAATGGTTAACCTCCAGTTGCTGCACATATTTACTTGGGTGCTTGATGGAGCTGATAAATCTCCAGTTTTCCAGGTAAAGCAGCTACATCTGATTATGTCATTTGACTGCATTCTTCTTGACTTTTCCTGAAACTGGTTGATTGAAGCCATAGTACTTAATGAATTTTATAAGGTTCCCATCCTGTTTAGACGCACATCCCTGAGCAGAATAAATTCCACTCCCTCAGCCTCTTTATTCTAGAGTGGAAATAAGATTATTATATGAGTATCTGGATCCTTCTGTAGCT